ACATAAAAATTTGTAAATATATTTTAATGTTTAGGTTTAATAACTTAATACTAGATTATTACAGTAATAGTTTTTACTAAAAACCAAAAAATCGAAAATATGCTATCTCAATTTTTTATTTTTATAGATATTTTAAGTTATGAAATTAAATATTTAAACAAGAAACACCTATTTCAGTATTTTTTTTTGTAATTTATTAATATTATTGCAGGAAGCCTTATACCTTTATGCATATTATTATATTTAATAATTATATGCAATGCAATTTTTGAAATATTATTTAGATTAATTTTAATATTTTAACTATTATATTTTTACTTATGTATTATTACTAAAATAACAAAATAAATAACTATAGTAAAAATAAAATAAATATATTACAATGAAATATAATTAGAACTTAAATACTGTATACTAGAGAGGACTAGAGTGGTTACTTAAGTACTTGCTAATTTTTTTTTATAAAAGTACTCCGAAACAATAATATTTTTCTGTAGATTTTGAAAGATAACAAATATTCGCACAAATTAGCTATGTTTTGATAGGTGTATTTGAGATTTGTATTTATGTATTTTTGATAAATGCTAAGATATAATTGTAATTAAAAATTCTGGAGCTTTGTTTACTCAAGGACTATAAAAAAATCAACAATTTTATTAGGAAACAGTAAGAAATTTCGATTGTTTGTTTGTCTTTTTTTAGATTCTAAGTAGAGTCAGGTAATTGTATTGATTTTATAACGAAGTGTGTTGTTTTTTTGTTTTTTTTTTTTTAATTTTTTGTTATCTATCATTACTTTTTGAAGTAGTAAAAGTGCTTTAATTTTAAACTTTAGAAGTGGTCTCTGGTAGAAAATTGGAAATAGTTGGTAAAATAGAAAAACAAATGTAAAAATGTTCTTTTCAATATAACCAGGAAAATTAAAAAAAAAAAAAAAAACAATACATTAGTAAAATAAATTACATTAATAGTAACATCAAAAATACGTCATGAAATATACTTAGTAATATAGGCTGACAGATCGTCTCCACTCAAAACCGTTTTTCGTATACAATGATATATCATTGAATTAAAATTGAACATATCCATTACAGTGACCCACTCGACACCTCTGTTTAACAGAGTGTTATTCACTTGCTCATTTTTTTTTTTTGTTACTCAGTTTGAAATTTTTAAATTATACTTATAATAATTGTATGATAGCTTTTACGCGTTTGATAAAAACTCAATAATATTTTAAACACGATTTTTTCAAAGAACTATTTGTTTTGTTTTTTTAAAATTTTATTGTGTCAATCATTCAAACGCAATTAAAATTTAAATATATTTAAAATAAATATCTAAAACATAGTAATAAATAATCATACAGATTATGTGAAAAAGATTATTATGATGTAGTACATCAATTACTATAATTGTACTCAGTATATTGTTTAATGTTTTTTCGACTACAATAACTTATCACTTTGTTCTATTTATTCAATGCAATACGTCTTGGTAGCATTGTATCATTGTTTGAATAATATAGAATATACCGAAATTTAAACTCAAGCCGTCGAAGCTTTATGATGTTATTTTGTCCTTCACGTTTCAAGTCAATAGGATTTAAAGTAATTCTCGTTAGCGGTGGGTAGTTGTATACTTGACGTTTTCTGAAATAATACTAATTCGATTTTTAATTTACGAGACGTATTTTGATGTACATAACTTCGCATATTCAAAAATGTCTGTTTTAAAGTGTAATTTTTCAGTAATGTGGAATGTGTATATTATTAAAATTAGGACTGACTTGGAAATAAATTTATTGGATATATATTTGCATAAGTCATGCTATAAGTTAACGATACAAAATAATATAAAATTTATTCTAAAATGTCTAGGGCGAATAAAGAAAAAAAATATGAACTCAATCAGATTAAAAAGTTGAGGTATTAATCCCCAAACAATAGTTGTAGTAACTCTTTTTATTAGGTAACCAATTTACTAAAATCTCTTTTTTAATTTTTTTTGTACACGCTGTAATATTAGGATGTTTTTGGTTTCTGTCAATCAAGTTGTTAATTATTTTACTTTTATTAACTGTTGACTATAATACGATTAAAAAAAAAAAAAAAATGTATTAGTTTTTTAAATTCTTAACACGGATTATTTGAATTAACACACTTTATCATTTATTAAAGTGATTGAAAAATTTAAGTTATTAAAATTGACAGATAATCTAATAAATTAAATGTATTAAGTGTATTAAGTGTATTAAAAAAATATTCAGATAGTTACTCTAGTTTAGTTAATAACCTTCATTGACTATTTATCTCTTATGTAAATATTCGTTTCATGCTGAATGTTTATGCACTTTTCCTCCCAAAGAAATATCACTAATAAGTTGTTGAATAAAAAACTTAGTTTAATAATGGTTGTGTAATGTGTCCAATTCCTTAATAATATAACGAGTTAAAATTAGAAAATATAATTATTTTACAGAATTCAATGTCATATTATTTGTGACCCTTGTTTGAAAAATAATAATAGAAGAATATCGTTCAATATAAATAGATATTACTGTAATAATATATAAATCGAAAGTTTATGACCTTAAAGTCATTAAAAAATAATAATAATAAAAAAAAAATTGCGAATATGATTTAAAAATGTCAACAATTAACATTATAAATATTTGTTTAAAAATTAAAGCATATTTTATATTTTCAAAAGTAAAAATGATAACTATCAATTGCCTTATTCCATCGAATCTTTATCTTAACCTATATCATATACAACTTGTGTAAAAAATTAGTTTATAAAATATAAATTTGATGTAGATACTTATATACAGACTGTGTAAAACAAAAAATATGTGTGTAAAGATGTTAATTGACAAAATCTAATAATAAATACAAGAAATTGAACTAAAAGGAAATTATGACCTAAAAATGACAAAAAATGATTTAAAAAAGAATATATGACAAAAAAAATAAAAAGCCAAAAAATGCAATATAAAAACTACTTATTTAAAGTCACGTGTTTATAAAAGACATTTATGGCTAGGAAAGCATCGTCTAATAAGTTAAAAAAAAAAAAAAAAAATTAATAAATAAATCAATAAATGTAAAGAGCATCAATTTCCTAGTCCTTATAATAATCTGTGTCTAACAAAAATAATACAGCCAGATAATATTTTTCTCATTTATCATACATTTCAAACATTCCTATAATAGAATAAGAGTTTTGGTTGTTTATTCATGTAATAATAAAATAAACTTGTCTAGTGATCTGAAAATACATTTATAGTCATCCGAATATATTGATTGTTTTAAATTTTGTGAGATGTTTTATTATTTTATGTTTGACTTACAATGAATGTTCTAATAATACATGTCCATTGCCCATCATATTTGATACCTAAGTAAATTAATTAAATCATATACTAATTGAGTTATTGCATAGTATTTATAATAAAATTATATGAAATAATTTACACTATATACAAATACACATATTATTACCTATTTTTAATTAGATATTCAATATTTATTTGTTTTTATAAGTACCGATATGATATATTTATTTTTGCATCTAAAAGTGACATTGATATACTTTTTTCTTTTTATTCTTGTAACATGACGTATTATTTAGAATTTGTATATATATATATATATATATATATAAAATTACACAACCAATTTAACTTAGGACATTTATGAATAGGATAGATTTATTTTTGGAAAAGTTTTACTGTATTGCGTAATGAATTTTTCTAATGCATTTTTTATTTATTTACTTTTTTATTTTTACCAGAGTGTGCAGATGTCACATAATATCGAGAAGATCTAATGTGATGAAAATTCAATTTACAATAGTAATCTTTACAGAAGCTTACACGTAGATATTGAATCTAAAACCATCCATTGACTAAAATAGATTATTGGTTCATTCATAAGAACGATGGTATAGAAATAATATTCGATTGTGTAAATACATTTTACGGTTTGTATACTTAATAAAATAATATCTATATAACTCCATCGTTATAATACGAGTATTAACTGTAAATAAAAATATATTAATTTCCATTAAAAATAATAATTATCTTTCAAATATTATAATTGTAATAACAACTTTAATACTCATGCAAGAATATTGATCGTTTTTCAGGATTACTAACTTCAGTGAAGAATTTTTATTTAATATGAGTTTATTATATTAGATTTTGTAGTTTTACATAGTAATAAATTTATTTTATATGCTCCAATAATAAAGTTAATAAGTTATATGTATTCATTTACATATAAGATATATTATATAACTATATATATATATATATATATATATAATATTATTTAATATGAATATTCGTACGTGTTCGCATGGATTAGCTGATTACTACTGCAATGTTTTTTACATAAATAATGGAAAATATATTTTTTAAAGAAGTAAATGCGAATCTCGAATATACGAATTTTTAAACTATGGATAATATCTATTAAATAACCACATATTCCAAACTCAGCTAGTATCTTGAACCCGAATATAACTATTATAAAGTATAAAATATAACAAATTAAAATACTAAAACAGTTTCTACATATAGTTAATGTGTACAATAAAAATAAATGTACAAATAGTATGTACTATAAAGTGGTCAATTAAAACTAAGTAATACATTAGTTGAATATACTTAACTAATCGTTTCAATACAATTAAGGAATATGGTAAAAAAATAATTTTATACAAACAAATAAAATATTTTCATATTAGTAATTTGTCTACATAGTATATAAAATTTGAGTTGCATATTTTTATCATAATATTCCAAACTTAATTTATGCATTATATTATTTTCTATTAAGCAGCTATATATTATAGTTTCGTCAATAGTATGACTGCTGTATGACAATCGTGTCGTCTACGTAACTGCCATCGATCAAACAGCTGAGTGTAATTATTTTGATGTGTACACTTCTTGGCATAGTTCAGTCCGATATTGTATTTAAGACCGGTACTAAAACATTTCCTGGAATTTTCAGGCATATTTCGACGATTCTTGTTTTTTTTCGGTCATTTTACAGTTATTTTTCGGTCAGTTCAATAGAATGGAAGCGTTCAGAAACGCTGTGCATATAGTCATGAACAGATCGTCCGATGACCAACAATTGGACTGCACACTCATGGCGTCAGTTCAAAAGCAGCTAAACGAAGTTGCGGACGCCGTGACTTCGGTATGGCCTCTTGCTGCGTTGTCAGAACTAGAAAGACGCGAATGCGCCAAAACTTCGGCCGTAAGACGGTTTCCGGCGAGAAGCATCGTTTACGGTATGTATATGCAACTAGTCTATCGTCAAATAGATATTCAGCTGATCACGTACATTTTGCATAAAAAAAATGTCTGTCTGGAAAATATTTAGACGTGAGTAAATTCTTTCGAGTTTTTAAAGTCTCTAGAAAAATGTGTTGTGTACGCGTACAGCATAATATACCGTTTACAAAGAATTTATGAAGTTCAACTATATAGTTTACAATTTAAAAAGGTGGGCAAGTGGATACTGCTTTGCTGTATGGTAGGTGTCGAGTGGGTCACTGTAATATGTGTGTTAAAATTGATTTCAATTATAGATCAATGTATACGAAAAACAATTTTGAACGGAGATTGAATTTTTTAAATATTGTTATTAGATAAATTAATTAATTTTAGCATTACAATATTGTAAATTGAAATGATTTTTAAAGAAAACACGAGATTTTAAAATTTCATTGTGTTTTTAAAATATATATCAGTAAGTATAAAGTTTTATGTTACCATAAATAGTTTTTTAAACTAAAAAAAAATAATAAACATCGTAATTATTCATAGTAAATAAACGTCATTTCGTTCAAATTAGAACTAAAAATATCTATAAAATTAATTTGTATGTTATTTTATTTATAAGGGAAAAAATTAATTCACATGCTTAAAATATAAAAATTATACATTTTATAAATTTTTAACTTCAAAATTATTGGAAAATTTTTGTGATTTTGAAAAATTTGGTCTAAATTTGAACTTCAAACATCTATGAAAATTAATTTTGTCTATGAATACTGTGTATTTTTACATAAATGTAACAACAATTTATGTGTGATCTTTTTTTTTAAATAATACGAAAAAACAAAATTTATTTTTTCAAATATCGGTTGTGTGTCAAAATTCCTATTTTTTATGTTTTTATACTTTTCGTGATTATTTTGAAAAATACTGACAACTTTTAATTTTTTCCACTTTAAAGTATTAACTAGATTCGATTCACCATGTAAAAAGCCATCTTAAAAGTTGAATATTAAAATTTTTTTTGACTAATTATCATGTATATATACACACAAAATAAAAAACACGCATAATTGTAAAATCAATATATTTATCGCTTTGCTCAGAATCTAAAATTAGTAGACGCATCTAATCTTCGATAAACATAGCCGTACTAATAATTATTCATAATTTTTGTTTGCTGGCGAAAATAATAAGTCATTAAATATATCATGATCTAATAATGATCATGATTAGGTTAAATTTATCAATTTTAGTGATATGTGCTAAATATTATTTACATGTTCCTATAACTACTTTATAAAAAATAATTTAAATTTACAATTTTATTATTAGTAATAGAATTCCAGTTTAATTTTGTGAATTAAATTAAACATAATATATATGTACTTTTAATACTATAATTATGATATTGTTTAATATAAATTTTAAAGTAAAATTAAATTTCTTACAGAATAAGATAAAAGTACCCCTTACTGAAATCTATTAAAGAATTTCAAAAAAAAAAAAATTTTTTTTGTTATTTTCTTTGTGTAAATTATGCTCAGAAATGGAACGATTGGATGCTTTTGAAATTTGTAATTTTAAGAGTTTTCCAAATTTTTCTTAACTCGAAATATTTGCCAATATTCTATTGTCCTTGAATTTAATAACTTAGAAATTACTCATAAAATTGTTAGATACAAATAAATAAAAAAAAGTCATCTACCTAATAGCTTATAAAAAAATTTAAATGTTTACTTGATTCTTTATACTTAATTTATATCAAAAAACTAAAATTGGTTTTTTTTAAACTTAGGTTCATATCAAAATTCCCACTTTTTCCAATTACAAAGAAAATGTATTGTATATTTTTAATTCTGACCTCTTTAAAGTAAAGACTAGATCAATCAAAAACCATTCTCAAAATTGAAAATCGAAGTATTGGATTGACTACTTATAGTGTTCTAAAAAAAAGCACATCATTATAAAATCGATATTTAGTACATTCATCACTTCTCTAAAATCTAAAATGAGAGTTAGCATTGTTGTTGTTAACTGTTGATGAGACATCAGAATATTAAAGTATAATATGTATATAAACACGCGTTATAGTACTTTTAAAAATTAATTTCATATAAAAGGTGCACATAAAATTTTTATTTAAGTGTGTGTCACTTATTGATAATGAAAGACACGATTATATATTGTACATATTTTTTGTTATACGTAATAGTGTATTTAATATAATATTTCAATGTGTTCTTAATTATTATATGGGTGTAAAAATGTACCTTTTGATTAAACTACTTGACCTTTTTTCTATATACTTCTGTTTAGAATCAGTAGCTTCAAAGAAACTCTCATTGATTCTCATATAATGGAAATATCGAGAAAATACATATTACATATTAATAAAGGCTTTTCGACTTATTTATTTTTATTTTCCATAGTCCTTGATAGTTTACAAATTTAAAAACTGCATTCACAATTATATTTAATGGATTTAATACTGCCTACATTTTTTTAAACACTAAATTTCATAATGTGGTGGTATTGAGGAAACTTCACGTACAAATATTGTATGACAAATACTGAAAAAAATATTTATATTAAGTATTGAGTATTTAAAAAAAATAATGCATTTTAATATAAATGTTAAAAATGTATTTCTAATAATATATGGTATAAAAAATTGTATAAATACAAAAATTTGAAATTAGACTAAATTATGTTTTTTATTATTGCTATATATTAGATCCCTAAATTTTTATAGGTATTTATATAAGTTTAATGAAATGTGAATTTGTCTATGATCATATTGATAAAATGATCAATTTTGTTTTTATTATTAGATATATTTTCTTATTTAATAGATCTATTTTAATATCTTAAAAAAAAAAAAAAAATCATGACTAAATATGATTGAAAAATAATACAATTTGCTCGTGAATAAACTGCTAAAAACTCAATCATATAGGATTAATAATCAATTATAATTATAGATCATCGATTTAGGTTTCTGATTATAGTTACCATAATGACTTTGTCTTGGCATAACGCATAACAGTATAATACTAAACTTTTCATATTAGTACCAATTACTTTCTTTATCCGACTTTAGATTCTCGATGGGAAATTTATTTTTTTTTCTGAACTTCAAATCAGGAATTAACTCAAATCTGAAAATAAAATATTCTAGAATATCAGTTAAAAGTTGAGAACACCTTAGGGAATTGATTGTTCATTCTCAAATTGTTAATAGCTATAGTACGGAAGTTAAATCTAAAAATCTATAACAAACGCATTTAATATAAAGCTTTAAAGCTCTAAATACTTTTTGAAAAGCTTATAAAAATATACTCACAATTAAAAAACTTTAAGGAAACATGCTTCAATCATAATCTTTAAAAGTGTTCTCTGGTTGAAAAGTTAATTTACCAAAATGTCCATACTAAAGAAAGTTTGTGGTTAAATTCTCAAAATTGCTGAAAATTAACACTTGTAGTACCCAATAGTCCAAAAACATAAAATATTAAGCAATATAAAAATAGGATATAAAAAAGATATCTTGTAGGATTGATTTACTTTGAAAAATATTGTTAAACATTTAATATTATACACCAATATTTTATTAGATTCTAAGCGGGGCGAAGAATGTATTGATTTTACAATGATGTGGTTTTTTTCGCACCTTTTTTTAGCAGAAAAAATGCTCAGATCATCAACTTTGAAAGAGGTTTCTTATTGAAAATTGGTCTTTTGGGAGCTCAAAATGAAAAAAAAAATAGACTTACTTTTTAAAAATAATAAAGAGAAAAATATTTCGTTAAAATTTTAATATTGTAAAAATAGTTATTTGGTGACTTATGCTATCAAAAAGTCTTAACTTAAAATTATTTTAAATTATTTATTATTAAATTTAATACATTTTTTACAATGTTTATTTATAATTTGTTTTTAAAACAATTTTCCGTAATTTTTCACAGTATATACCACAATATACAACCAATATAATATATAACCTATAAACCATCAAATATAATTTCTTATAATTATTAATTAGTGTTATTTATTACTTTTTTGGTCTATGAGTACATAGGGTGCGTTAATATTACACATTAATATATAATTGTTCATCCTTTTCATTAACAGCATTAAATGTTTAAAAATAATTGATTCAAATTTTAGATGATTTTAAATTGTTATCGTTATCAATGCGATTGCCCAACAGACAGTAGTGATTTAAGAAATTTTTAAGTTTCAAAAAATTCGTAAAATGTAACTTGTTTGCAGGCGTTCAAGTTTAAAAATAAATAACGAAAATTGACTGAAACGATTATTTATTTATACATATAATAATAATTATAATTATTTATATGACAATTTATACCCACGAAGCGGCAAGAGTAAAATAACTATAATATAACTGTAATGTTCAATATTTTAATTTTTACTTACTATCTTGAAAGAAATAAAAGTTATTAAATCGTCATAAAATGTTAATATTTAATACATGGAGCTACTTAGAACAAAATATTTTACTTGTACCTAATATGGTATAGGTATAGCAAAAACTATTAGGAGTGTTCATTTGGAGTACATCTAACGATATTTTTTGCAATAAGTTTAGACTGTCAATGTAACTATATTCAAAATATTATATATTAAGATATATTAATAAAATTACGTCTGGATATTTCATCGATATGAAACTTCAAAATACAAATTACCTGCAAAATAAATTATGTGCGCTATCCATATAAAAAAAGTAGTTGCACTTTTTCAATTTTACCTATCATAAACTTATATTTATTTAGACTCTGATTAATTGTTTTATTTTATTCCCAAATCAGACCAGATTGTAAATACAGTCATTCAGCAATATAAATTATTAAATCTCTTGTGATTCATTGAGTTTTGTACCAATTCAAATTTCTCATTTTTTACTTTGTATTTGGTTACCGGTGAACGATTAAGACAAACATAAATATGTTAAATATTAAAAAACCCGTATTCACTAATTAGGTAT